TGTATATACTATTGTATAATTTTGTAACATTGTACGGTTTCATGCATTATTGGTTGACAAGATTTTCTATTAATTTGTGTGCGTTAATATGGAACTATAAACATCCCTGGTATTCATTTAGGTGTGCAAGTTTATTAGCAACCTTTGCATTGTGTTTCAGTGAAGCGCAAAGAACATGCTTATTGCCAGTGTTATTGTGGATGCCATCTTTTCTTTAAAAATGTCAATAAACATTTCCCATTTGTATTTACTTACCCTTTGCTTAACACATCTGATTTTTCCATGGATTAGTTCAGCATAGAAACATTTTTCTGGGACTGACTTTTTTTCACACATGTCAGTCACATTTACACCAAAATAATTGTCACTGACCTAGCTTAGGTTTTCTTCTTTTTTGGCATTTTTGGTGCAACAGTAATATTAGCGTTAGAGTTTTTGCCTATGTACAATTACACTTGGTGTCCAAGGTTAAGTTTAAGGTGTGAGTTGAAGCATTGTTATCACAAAAAGAATGGCAACTCCAGCTGCAGATCACTGTATATTAAAACATGCCAATCACTGTCCATTTTTCAGTATGTGTTTATATACCAGTGGGTACTGTGATTTTAGATAGTCAGCAAGAGTAGTTGCATAAGGATTCTGTTAGAAAAAAAAAATGGAAATTTAGATCCCAGCAAAAAGGACTACAAACAGATAAAACTCGAAGCAAGCTACAATCACCCATATAAAAGCACAAAGTAAAATGCACAGAGGAAGTATCAATAAACGCAGTGTGCAAATGTATTACAAACCTTTGCAGTAAATAATCTACCTGTTGCAGCTGAACTTTTGCAAGTGGTGTGCCACTTCTGATGTTGCGACTCTTTGTGCCGAGTCTGCAAAAAATTCACAAATGTTAGTCAGCTTTTGCAAATTTTTCACCAGTACTCTGAACTAGCTGTGGGATCATTTTAAAAGGTTGGTTTACCTTTCTAAAAAATGTGCTGGGCAGGAGAAAGGGCTTGGCCTACAGATACATCTTGTAAACTTGGCTCCATTTTTCCAAAGGTGTCGAATGTTTTTTAAACTACTGGAGCTTCTTTTTTAGAAATGTGAACTGACACTTTAAAGGAGAACTATGAGGTGAGTGATTTTTACACAACCTCATAGTTCGACCCGACGTGTGACAAACTGTCGCACGTCGGCTCAATAGATCACTCGCTTACTTCTCGATCACGTCCCTGCAGAGAGACGTGACTATCACTCACGGCTCCCTGCAGGGATTCCCCCCATCCCTTGTCCGATCCTCCAGCGCTGACTGGCGGAACGGACGTGGGAGGGGGCGGGTACAGCTGGCTCTGCCTCTAGTTAGGCAGAGCCAGCTGTTGCTCACGCAGCTAGGTGGATCTCGACAGTAATGTCGGGATCTGTCCCGGCTGCGGCGGTCTCAGTATACCGCAAGCTGTAGCTCGCGATCTACTGAGCTTTGGGTCACGGGAGAGTGCTAGTTTATGTCCTCCCGTGACCTTTAGGAGAACTATGGGGAAAAACACTTACCCCATAGTTCTCCTTTTAAGATGATCATCCTTCGCTAATGTAAGAAGTTATCTAGAGCACTTCTAAGGGTTAGTTCACACCAAAAGCAGTGCATTCTGGTCAGATTCTGGCCAGAACGCACTGCCGGCTCACGTTTTTGCCAGGCTGGAGGGGGCGTGGCGGGCCATTGAAGTGAATGGCACCGTAGCCACGCCCTCCGGCCGCAATGCGATTGCAGCATTTTGATCGCACTGCACCGGACCGCACTGCAGGCACAATGTGCCTTGCGATCCCGTACGGTCGATCACATTGCGGCCGGAGGGCGTGGTTACGGTGCCATTCACTTCAATGGCTCGCCACGCCCCCTCTAGCCCGGCAAAAAAGTGAGCCGGCCGCAATGTGAGGCAGTGCGTTACGGCCAGAATCGGACGGGAACGCACTGCTTATGTTGTGAACTAACCCTTAAACAGACACAAGTCTGATTTTAGGCAAAGTAATACGCCTGGGGCAATTCTGTGGCGAGTCTGCTACACTATCCTATATACAGACAAAATGGCCAGTGCAAAGTATTTTGACAAATATATTACATTGAATGCAAAATAATGCACAAAATGTGGCACATTTCCAAATGCATTTTATTGATAAATGTCCTTCAGGGAGGCTTCAGAAATGTTCTATAGGTCTTCATATCAGTGCTTTGCCCTTCTGTGCATTTTGCCGCAGGTGGATAGGTCCCATTTTATAGTAGTGGTAAAACATTGTAGACAACTCAATCTGACAGTGTCAGTAGAATGACACACTTCATTGAGGATTGTTCTGGAGATGGAAGATCAATAATTTAGAGTCCTTCATACACCTTTTTAGAGACATGATGAAAACATGATTGTATACAACTATATCCACATAGGAGGCATCTATAGTAAATGGTATTGTTTGAAATGTTTATTTTGGTATATTGCTCCTTAACAGGCCAGGGTGCAATATGGTATTTAAATTTTGGAAATTAAATGTCATTGTATATGAATTATTCAGTAGAATGTTTGAATGCTTGGAAAAAACTTACTGTGTTATGAGGTTACCTGAGGACACACTGACCTGTCAAAGACCGTGTGCAATCATCTTCAAAGCTGACAAGTAATATTTTATTTTGTGGCAAAATGGATATTTGGGCATTCCTTTCTGAGCTGTCAAGATAAAATGTGGAGAATACACATACCACACAGGACATCTCTCTCTGTGTATTTTTCCCTTTTATTCACTTACTCTTTCCCCAGTCTTTTAGTTGTCTATGCTTGGTAATGTCAAACTTTTTACATTGTTTTTCCTTCTCACTTGTAATTTGACCTTTTTATATTGAGGGGATATATGCAAAGCTTTCTGTGTATCTGAAATTGTATATTTTTAATGTATGAATACATGGTGATTCTCCAATTTAAAGGTATGCTGCAGTTGAAGCCAATTAAAGCTAAGCCTTAAGATGGACACAGAGTGTGATCCCTACCTAATCAGTACTGACGTATTTCATCCAGGCATTACTGTAGTGAACCAGTCGTAGCACAATAATTTTTTTTCATATTTTGGTGATCTACCAACCATTGCTTGTAATGCAGTAGAGCTATTCCAAACTTACTATAAGTTCCTTGATGACTCTCAATGCAAAAAGCCGGTTTTAAACATTTGTTATAAGCAGTGAGACATTCCTTCCAGTCCCCAGTGCAATCCAAATCTGCCTTGAACATTCTGATTGGCAGTACAGGAAGCAGAGAGCATGGAGGTTACCTAGCACAACCTTTAGAAAGTATACCACCCGTGACCCACCGAGGAGCTACTTTAGACTTAACTGCTGTGGATTTCTGAGAACTCCGATAAAGAGTGACATTTATAATGTTAGTATATATGCAGTGTATGGTGCATAGCATTGCTAGATAACAGATTGCTTTTACTCCTCACAAAAATTAACACTGACCCCCCCTCATATAGTAAGACGGCAAGGCCCCCTTTTTATGTGGCTCTACTAAGACTGCTGGACATTCGTCTTACAAGAGGACTGTGGACTTGAAACCCCATTCACACCAGGGCGACAGCGTTTCAGCGTGGTTTACGTGCGTTTTTTAAGTGCATTTTTCCGTGTTTATGTGTGTTTCGGTGTGGTTTACAGGCGTTTTCTAATCATATGTAATAGCTTTTAAGGCGCATTTTCAGCTCATTTTCAGATATCCAATGAAAAGCAGGCTCGGCTAAAAAAAGCACAAAATAAGTGCCACAAAAGAAGCTCAGGGACTATTTAAACAGGTGTATTTGTAGCCCACCTAGAAGTACATGGGATTTTAATTTGCATGCGTTTCAGTGCTTAAAAAACGCGCTGCGAAACACCGTAGTGTGAACAGAGCCTAAAGTAGAACTGTGATCAGGCTAGGGACATTAAACATTTATATATTCTTAACAATCAGTTATTATGCTTTAAAACAATCCTTTACCAACCTCTGTAGGTGCAGGCATTGTAGACTAATTCATCTTTAAAAATTACCACGGAAAGTGCTTTCAGTTTCACTTCAGATATTTAATTAATTCTGCTCCTTCTCCTAGCAGTGACTTTGCAGCGTGCCAGCCTTTTAATCTGTAATATATACACAAAGTAGATGCACAGAAAGAGGGTTTAGAGTGCCGAGGCCTGAGTTAAAAGAATTTATTACATCTTTGAGGATGAATTGAATGCTGGAGTACCTGGAATTGAATTCTACTTTAAAAGCATCTGTTTTGATGTAATGGATAAGATGTGTGGCCCAGTAAAGCTGAAGAGCTGTGAGGGTTATAGGCTTTTCAGTGAAACATTGCAACCATTCAGAATCTGTCTCATACTGGTTAGGCTTCAGAAAAGTGAATTCCATTTGGTTGTTATGGATATTGGGCCTACCAATTTGCTTCAGGAACTTTTTATTTTAATAAGACCATTGCTTTCTTTTCATATCATCTCTACTTGAATATATATTTTTTAAAGCTGTACTCCTTGCCCCCAGATTTTTCAAAACTGGAGCAGACAAAATCTGGAACATTTGCCCATAGTAACCAGCCAGCTTCTCATTTTCAATTCTTAACTGAACAACCTAAAGAGAGAAGGTGATTGGTTGCCATGAGCAACTGCTCCAGTTTTGATAAATCCCCTCCTGTGAATGGGGGTCACCATGCTCAGAGGTAGGGCCATGACAGGTACTACATTCACATTCTCCCAGGTTGAATGATGACCAGTGTCGCTCAACCCTTAGGACCCTTGCGAGCAGCTCTGTATTGATGTTTTGCATCCAGAGCTGCTCTTGTAGAAAAAAAGAAAACTCCAGGGGGCATTTAAAAAAAAAAAGTAGCTTTAAGTTGGGCTTTAAAAAGAAAATCCCATACATGTAATATCCTTTGTATTATGCTCAAGCAATGGCTTCTAATATGTTGTATTGTGTGTTTTTCTTTCTTTCATGTTCCTTTGTACATAAAAGCTCCAGAAGAAGAAGGAGGAAAGCCTTTCCAATGCCCCATCTGTGGACTAGTAATAAAACGAAAAAGTTATTGGAAAAGGCACATGGTGATTCACACAGGTTTGAAAAGCCATCAGTGTCCACTATGCCCATTTCGTTGTGCCCGCAAGGACAATCTGAAATCGCACATGAAGGTAAGATTACAGTTACATAGAAAGCTAAAGATTGCTTTCAGCTCACAATACAAAATAACTTCTATATGAATTTAACCGTACGCAATGATCGCCTTGTGCCTGTAAAAGCCTTTTACAAATGTGTGTCATACCTCATGGTTGCTGGAATTTGTATTGTTTGTATTGTATGCTCTTCTAAATACTATGGAGGCTTGAGTTATAAGGATTCCTTAGTATATTCTTTAGATAGTATGTAGAGAATATCTGACATATAGTATGTAAAGAATATAACTAAGATAAAATTGTTTTTCCTTTTGATCGTTTTTACCAGATAATAAAACCATGATTGATATTCTCTGGGAAGCCTTCTCCTCTTTTATCATTTTTTTTTTCTTCCAGTTATTTTTAGGAAGTGATATGCAGACTTATATTTACATTTTGGACCACCTAAACCCTGAACAAAGAAACCCCCTACATTTCATGCCAGGCTCTGCTAATCTATACATTTATTAGCTTTCCATAGATGTTGGGCCATTGTCAGCTACCTTTTCTGAGCTTGAAGTGACTAGGCAGGCCTCTCTTGCAACTCTGGTCCCGAGACCCCTGGGTAATGGAATAGGGAACTCAGGGCATAGAGGGGCACAAGTGCCTGAAGATAGGAGACAGAATCGCAGACCTGAATCACCAATGTAGTGCAGCAGACAACATTGGGGATGCAAGTCTGGGATGCAGGTCAAGTGGCAGCAAGGTCAGGAGCAGGCCGAGCAGGACTCCAGCGGCAAGGCAGAAGACCAGGCAGAAGACTAATTCATAGTGGAGGGCAGACCGAGGTCAAAACCAGGAGGACAGCGCAGTACAGGAACAGCTGGCAGAAGAGGTGTCAGGAACAATCTGAGGTCGGGGTGCAGAACAGCAGAAGGGTCAGGATAGCCGGCTCAATAAACAGGAACAATATGCTGGAGTCTTGATAGCAGAAAGCTAGCACTGAGCATCAGGGCGAGACAGTTTAAATAGCCCGTCTGGTGCCAGAATCTGTAGTGCACGCGCATCTATGCAGAGACGCATACCCAGCCCTGACTCCATGGGTCAAATCGTGCATATGCGCAGATGCTCACGCAACACTACCATCAGGAGCTCTTCCACGGGCTTCTTGACAGCCGTATTCAAATTTAGTCTGTGTGTTACTAATATCCAGGGTGAAATGGAGGCTTCAAACAAATAGCCTGTTTATAGATAAAAAAAAAAAAGAAAAGTTACCTGAAATCCTTTCTTCGTACACGCAGTATTCCAGCAAACGTATAGTCAGAAAACTGAACAGCTTGGTTTGACAACCTTTCAATTACCAAGAAACATCTAAGTATCCCCTGTAGAATCAGAGTTCACGAAAGCATTTTCCTGATTCCTGTTTTTTTTTCACCTTATAGCTAGGTGCTCGATGGTAAATGCTGTTGTATTTTTACTTCTAAATCTGTACCTGCTTTAACAAGCTGTATATGGACTACAGATGGTACTTTCTATGTTCATAATCTCTCCGCTCAGATACAACACGATTTTGCAATGTATATTAATTCTATCTGGCTAGCCCAGTAATGCTGGAGGTGGGTGTTGTGTTTTTCATTAGGAAATGAATGGAAAAAAAAGATATGAATCAAATATATGGGCCTAGATATTGCACATGCCTTATTCTGAGGTAGAGAAATATAGCAGTTCTAAAATGTATATGTGGGTTGGCAAACTTGCATCAAAACCATATTATGCTCAAATGTACCTTATTATAGATGGTTATTTTATCCCTTTCCTTTTTGTATGGATTATTTTTCACCAAATACAAACAGAGGAACTAATTAATTCTACAGCTGCCTAGATTTTATTGAATTGCTGCTAAGGAGATGCTGCAATTCAGAATGTATTACATCTGCATGTCTAATTGTGCTAAAAGTAGGTGTATGTGCCGCACATAGAACTCTCACTTTCCCCTACATGCAGCTCTGTAGTTGGAGATGATATGAAAATCGATGTTAGGTTTCTTGAGTCAGTAAGGATTAGGCCCTGGTGCTTAACATGCAGCTCAGGTGCTGCATGCGGTCCTTTGGCACTTTTTGTGTGGCCCTATTAGCCCCTGCAGACAGTATCTGTGTTTAGTTATTATAGGTGTTTATATAGTGCCGACAATTTTACGCATCGCTTTACATATTGCACATTCACATCAATCCCTGCCCTACGGGGTCCCTATTGCACACACATACAAGGGCCAATTTAGACAGGAGCCAATTAACCTTCCAACATGTCTTTGGTGTGTTGGAGGAAACCGGAGTACCCGGAGGAAACCCACGCAAGCACAGAGAGAACATGTAAACTCCTTGCAGATAGTGTCCTGACCGTGTTTACCTTTTTTTTTGTGCTTACTCAAGACAGTGAAGGAAAGATATTGTTCTAGTAAAAACATAATAGTAGATTAATGGGTTGGAATTGTTTTCACAATATGTTTAATTTAAAACTTGCCATGAGAAACATCAGATGAGCCACATGTGTTTTTAAGGAGGCTGTTGGAAGCACAGATGTTAAAGCATTGATTTGGGCTTGTATTAACAATGCTTTCAATCAGTCTCCTGTAATGTGTCTCCAGTATATGACTGCCTCCTGAAGTATGTCCCCAGTCTCCAACACCTTCTATAGCATGTTTGCAGTCTTTGATGATTTTTTTGTTACATGCCTGTAGTATTTAACCATTTCCTGTTGTATGTTTGCAATCTTTGACATCTTCCTGTAGCATTATGTTCAATTAATATTATGTGTAGCCCTTTGATGATGTCAAGGGCCACTCTCGAGGCCCCCAATATCAAAGAAGTTGACCACCGCTGGGCTTAGGTATATGAAAACCAAAGCCACGCCTTTATTTCTGAGCTTGTGAGCTAAAAGCAGCAACAAAAGATTTCCATTTGAGCCTAATTCCAGGCTGGAAAATCCCAAGAGCCAGGTAGACAATGCTCCTTAAAAAGAAAATGCAGCTGGCGCCTAACTTTGAAGGTTTTCTCTAGTTGTCAATGGAGCTGACTCATAAAAAAACTCCTACTGGCTCCTTAATTGGTCAGACTGGCTCTTGAATTCCATAATATTTTGTCCACCCTTGGCCTAGTTTGACATTGGGGTCCTTGGACTACCAGTAAGTCTTTTGTGTTATATGTCAGTTTGAACTGGTAAGGTCCTTTTGGATGTCCTTATATTTATGGAGAACCATTCAGTTTAGGTTTATGCAAGAATCTGCACATTGTCTTAAATGAAAATGACCTACTTTTCTGTGATTTATTTATATTAGTTTGGCTGGGCATGACTCTTGGAGCTAGTAGGCCAGAGGTGAGAACTTTCCATGTTGTGTTTTAGCTGCTAGGTAACCCTAGCAGACACAGAGCAGTGTAGTTGTTTACATTGCTCTTAACGCTGAACTCCAGCAAACGGCTAAATACACAGATAAAATGCATATAGGGTTCTGATTTACCTGCCAAAGGAATGGTATTTCTGTACATCTAGTGCAGATTTACGCAGCTCTGTCACAGCACGGCCCCGTATAGCAGGTAAAGACCTGACTTTTCTCTGATGCAGTTAAGTAACACTTACAGGCCTTCTGCAGTCCCCACCCTGTGACTGGGCAAAGAGAGGAGAGGCAGCAAACTGAAGCACTCTGCTCTTTCCTCCTTTCAGTGTACTCCATGTACTGCAGCTCAACTAATTGGCTCCTTCTGTTACTCTCTCCACCAGTTTAAACTCTGCTGTACATGAACTACATGAAGATTATACCAAGTTAAATGCAGGTACTTCCACTGCTTAGTGAAAAAAAACACATTTAAGTATATAAAAATTAATGCAAAGTGGCAATCATTTGTGTCTTTTATATCTGCCTGGCATTCACCTTTACCTACAGGGCTCTTTGGTTTGTGCTACAGGCAGGGGCGTATCTGCCGCGAGGCAAGCAAACAAGGCGTTTTGCCTGGGGCGGCGGATTCGCTGAGGGCGGC